AAGATCACTATTAGTGTTCGTTTATCAAAAGGCATTGGGAAGTAATCTTCAGCCCGCACTCTCATCGATCTTAGAATAGGTGCCATGGTTGTAAATAGTTGGTTGTAACTTTTTTTTAACGTGGACTCATCTGGGACCAGTGCGAAACTTTTGTTGAATCTTTTCGATTTCCTGATAGAATTTTACCGATATCAACGCAAGCACAATGAATAGATCTGAGTCACTCACAGAAAGCAGACAAAGCCAGTCTGAGTGCTGGTCCGGTCGTCAAATTGGTTTTAAAATTCTATAGACACCTGAATGGCTTAGGTTATAGGCTCTACATTTTTTGTCCGTATGCTCGTCGCTTCTGTTTGACAGGAGATAAGGTAACCTCCTTATTCAGTAGCAGATCTGTTGGGTGACAAATTTATTGCCTCATCGTTTGGAATACGGCTTTCGTCCAGCTTTGATTTGAAAGTCCGAATTAAACATGCCGACAGTGCGGCTAAGGAGCTCGCAAGTCAATATGTTACCTCCCGCATACTGCTGGAAGCACAGGTGGTTGGTTCTTTGTCTAGCCGATGTAAAGGAGTCAGTAAAAAGCCTGCCTCGACAACGGGCGCTCATCGTATGTACAGTCCCTTAAACTTAACCTATTCCTTAGGAAGATATATACATACGTATGTAGAATGAATACTATATATGTGTTTTTCTAGGGCTGAACAGTGTTGCACGCTTGATGCCAATATACGATTTCACCTCTTTTTGTCGTTCGTTGTTGTTGCTTGCGAGGAATCACTCCATTGCTATCTCCTGCACAATGCTCCAGGCACCTGCACCGTTTTTCGCACGTCCACACAAACATGCACATGTGTAATACACAGAACAAGCTCACTGCTGTTCATTTTATGACAGGCGCTGGCCAAATCGTTGTTGCTGCATAACTTAACTCGTTGACACTGGGTTGGGAAAACCAGAACGTCCGGTTTATTTTTCAGCTCTTCAATGGCAGTTCTGTGCCTCGTGACTTAATTAACTGACGATACTATGTGAAGAATAGGTATTTTCCCTTCGAGAAGATCGAAACAAAGCAATCTTATAAGAGAATACCGATACGCTGCTAATTAATACTGCGTTTTATGTATTTGTTGTACGCATACATATTTCGCGAACGCGGGCAGAGCAGCTGTTACTTGTTCATCCATCTTACCAAATAACTGTGCTCCGGTCGTTCCTTTCTTCGTATCGTGTACCCTACGCTATTTTAGAGCTTTAAGACTCAACATTGCCTTTACCTATTTTAACAACATCCCACACTCTCTAATGCTTTTCAACTGCGCTTTTATTATAGTGTGGCAAGGATCCTTCTTGGGTTTCGTCGGCCTAAAAAGACAGACGATTGGCTTAGTTCATGCTGGAATCTTTCGAAGGGGTCTGCTAGGCTAATAACGGATCAAGGCCGCACGACTCTGTATGATGGTCAGCATACAGCTTCCTGCCACCGATGGCTAGAGTTTTGCTCATTAGACTGGTATAAGCAGATGGTACGGCGAGCACCATATTTAGCATGATAGCAGAAACATCCTGTTGCTTTGCGCTCGTAAATATGAATTAGGCTCGTGATTGATGGTCCAGTAACTTGCTGATGCTCCGATCCAAAGGTTGTGAGATCACCCGTAACGGCAAGACAACAGTACCTTTGATACCCTAAACCCGTCTATTACGCTGGATGTCGCTATTTGGCAGTATTTATTTTTAAATATTGCTCAGATAACATCGAAAACTTGGATTAAGATATTCTATCGTGTAGTCTATGGTCTAATTTCTGTACTCGTTTGTATTCAACCTATTTTATAGGCACGAATATCAAATTGAACACTGCTAAGAATATTATCTGTTAATAATCGGGGCAGGTCGGAACCTATCGGTGCAAAGCTGGAGTATGCTGAATGCGAGAAAGCTTCTATCCAGGCTCTTGTAGGATGGCTTTCAGTCATGCGCGGCCTGACGCTGTCGTAGAGAAAGATCGCTTTGCCTCATTCATTGCAACTTTCCTTCGTTCACTCAGTGCAAGTGAGACATGGGCAAATCACCGCTTAACACTTTTATCTTCACAAGGTTCTCAGCAAATGCAAATCTGAATCGTTTTCGGATAGTCATACGACTAACTCTAGGCTTACACGTGTCTTGTAAACACACGGATTCCATTCATACGGATATGGAGTCATAACTTCCTAGAGCCTGAAAATTCTGTGTAGGTATTTACCCTTGAGGCTGCACATGGACCGCCTCCGGACAAAATGCTTTAGCTCACTTTACTAGCCACCCGGCGTCTTAATTTTCGGCTAAATCCGATCGGCAATGTATCGCATAGGTAAGTGTAATCGTATAGGAACAGCTTACCTTTTCGGCTGATTTTCAAGTTGTTTAGCGACCATCTTTCTCAACAGATTGGCCCGTTGGCTTGGGCTGGAAAAGGGGAGCTTTTTTCAATGATTGATAGAAAAGAGGAAAGAGTGGTAAGGTAAAGGCGAAAGCGAACAGTTGATCGTATATCTTTGTCTGATGCGACTCTATCTTTAAACAATCATTAGACGACGTTAATGGTTTGATCACGAACGGGTTCGTTGGTCGTAATGTTGGGGTCGATGTCAGCCGGTCCTGTACGTGTTTTAAGACCAAGGTCCCCATAATAACTTGGGGGGGATAACGTATTTGTCTGTTCGTTTTCAAGACGCGTTGCGACCTAGGTTCGAACTTGGACATAGATAAAGTTCGTCGTTCCTGGCTGCCAGCTATGTGTCTGATTGAATAAATACCTAGTGGTGGTACCGGACGTACAGTTCGAAACACAGAGAAGTTCTAGCCCAAGAGAGTGACCATGGGCGTTAGTAACAAGCACGTGTTTGCATACTGAACGTGAATAAATTAATCCAATTCAAACAAAAGTGACTACAAAGGATTCATGTTTTATCTACTTTCAAAAAAACGGCAAAGCTTTTTTGAGCAAGCTCCGTGTATAAATCTTTGAAGGTGGGTCAGCCACGTAACAGGCCAGGTATGATAAACTATGCAACAGCCATACATCAGGCCTAGATTCTCGCGCCCGGCTAAATTGGCAAGGCATGGCATTTTGTCAAAATCTACATTGGATATATTGCGCTATTCATCGATCTATATTGAGGCGTCCAAAATAACCACACCGGACAGTTACCTGAGATGAACAACAGAAGTTCATAGCCGTCAACTGAAAATTCGCAGATTTCCTTTAAGGCGTCTATCTGAATAATGGAAACCACAGATTATAAATAAAGGTTTTAAACTATTTGTTAATATAGGAAAGCTACAGCCTCGATAAAGTATATTTCACTAAACGTAACCAGCAATGTTTACCGATAAAATACCTTGCATATACCCTATTTCGGACACACAGTAGCCATACACATATGCAGTTATTCTGTCCTATATATATATATATATATATATATCATTTAAAAAAGTAAATACTATTTCTAGAATGTATTTAGCAACGTTCCTAGCACAGAAAAACGCTGAGGTGGACCCCGTAGGCACGGCTATAGGCGTATAGATGGTACTAAAATCAAACTGATACAAGGTATTCTAGCTTATTAACGGCGTTTCGTACCACAATATCCGTTATTGTTTATGAGCTGAATCTACCCGCTGAGCTGAGCGACACTCTCAAATTAAATTAGAAAAATATTTCTAAATAGAATATATTAAATTAGTCTAAAATCTAAGACTGCAAATTATACAGACTTAGGGAGCTGCTATCGAATTTATAGATGTTTAGTTAACAATATTGAATTTCGAATTTCAGAAATTCACGGCAGCGCCAAAACTCAAGCTAATTCCAATTATCCTTAACATAAATTTATCGTCGATCATAAACAGAATACAAATTTGAGTGTGTTTATGAAGTCAGAGGGGGGGGGGGGGGGTAGTAGAAAGTGGAAGTAATCATTCGTCCTTAAACCCAAATTGCAGTCATCAAATATAATTATGGAAAAAGATGTGCATACTCGAAACCTACATGTTTGTCTTTTAAAACGTACGAAAAAATAAAGTTGTAATTACCTTCGACAGACTATCACAGGAGTGGACCTGCCACATGTCAGGCCCTTAACAGTCTGGGGGTTTACCGTATACTGGCTGGTGCAAGGAGGGACCTTAATCAATATCAATCAACTTCAGATACCGTATTTGTGTACCTGTACACCTGTATGCTTTGAGTTTGTCATTTTGACGAATATCCATCTTATCGTTTAGATTCATATTCATCCTCTGCCAACAATTTACATTTCCCCATTTACAGGCCGCTAACAGGTACGGGTTTCGGTTCCACCAGAATAATTCACTGTGTCCTTCCAGCTCACTTCAAATCAGCTTCATTAGGTACCCCATACACACTTTGTGTATCTCTCAAAACAGCACCGTAACAGTATGGCTACGTGCCGCATTTGCTGTCGTTACCAGATCACGAAGCTCAAATCTTAAACGAAAGCTAAAAAATCTGAACTAATAACACGAAGTTTTGAATATAAATCTCTGTAGATTATCGATACACCTAGCGGTTTTCTGTCTCAGCAAAGTTAACTGGGTGAGAGTTATGCTTAGTAAGTTAACTGATACCGAGTAACTGTAACGTATCATTATAAAAGTAAGACGCGAATCGTTTTCAAACACTAAAATGTACCTATGGACGCTGCATATGCTCTGATTTGTGCTTTACTGATTTTGGCTAACTAGTAAATCATACCTTCTTCATTGCAGTCTCTGCACAGCGTCGTCTAGCTATTCAATTGTACGGTAGCGCCAAGGATTCGCAAGGATTATGAGGAGAAATCTAGCGTGACGTATTTGCCGTCCGTCGAAAAATGTTCGATTTACAACCACTGTCATAGATCGAGTATTTCATCTAATGTCCAATACATTCTAATACCTAATTAGAATCATAATATTATTGTGATCTATTCTTCGGCCAAGACATAGCTTACCACCATTGCCGGTTTGGGGTCCTTCCGTACCGCTGGCACCGTTCATTCGGCAGAAACAAATGAACCGTAGAACCTATACCACACAATGGTCGCGCCGAAACTGCTGCCTCCTAGAAGACATATGCGGGCCCCAATCATACAAGGCTTTTACACTTATACGATCAACAAAAAAACGGCAGTAGAACTATCATTATGCTAAGACTACAATCACTGTAGCATTGGAAAAAAAAACCTATTCTGAGAAGGATCATCTTGCCGTGGATTAACTGAATTCAATGTACACTGATACAGTCCGTCCACAGTTAAGTATAGAGTATATAATCGGTGCACGACAACCTTATTGGAGGCTCGGTTTTGCTGCTGATACCGCCATTGTTGCGTTCGCCGTAGTAGGAAAGGGAAGTAAGTAAAATCCAGGTGGGCAGCGCAGTTTACTATTATCGACGCAGATACCCACAATTCGGTCCTATTTTTATTAATAAATAAAAACAAAGGAGAGGCGAGAGATTAGGAGAATTGATAAAACTCTGTGATTCGAGGTTTTACTGCTGTAATTGTAGGCAAGAAAGCTGGATTAATCGTTGAGTACTCTTCGATCTAACTTTATGAGATTATACTGTGATTAATCTACTTTTGCTCAACACAAATAACACGAGTAAGCAGAATTTATATGAAGGTAGGCGATGCTATATGGTTCAGTGTACGTAATTGTCGTGCTAAAATGGGTCCAAATGATACCTTACGTAAATAAAGTCGCCATTTTTTTTTTCAAAAACAGTTCCGTACTGCACGTCGTTGTCAGCAACGATGTGCGCGCGAAAACACGATACCTTTAGTTTTATTTGACATATATGTATTCTTGCTAAGTATATTGACGCTACTTGTCCTCAATTTGCTTTTTTCTTTAAAAATGTAGCTTTGAAATCACGTAGAAAAATGACTAGCTCATTTTTCTACGTGATTTACCTCATTTACCTTATTTACCGTTCCGCAACAGAAAATCGACTGAGGGCAAAAAGTACCTAACTGTCCCGTATAGTTTCGAGTTTTTGGAAACTCGGCTAAAGAAAACATGGCGTAACGCCGACTGCACCAAATTTAATTAAACCCGCCTGCATCTCAAAAGTGGCACAAATTATATGATATTAATATTTAATAATAATAATAATAAATAAAAAATAAACACGCGCTTGCCAGAAACAATGACGAGGCCCACATAGCTCTTGCCGAATATAGCTCCACCTTCCCTCATATTTCTTCCTCTATGTGCACAGCTACTTTGTCCAATGTAAACAACACGCAAGATAAATATCTGAGATGATGAAAACAATACTTCGCAAAAAAAAACACGGGCGGGCTCTTATAAACCTACAAATTTTCCCATCGATGTTTCTATACTATGACACGCTTATCGCCAATATCACCGTAAAATATGCCGTGTAAAATAGCGATCCAAGCGATGCTTGACATCTTTACAATGATCCGTAATCCACCTACCTAGACGAAAGTGGCCTTGCAAATTACGTATAGACGCGGACGCAAATCGCCTTCTATCTATATTTATTTATCTAATGAAGAACTCGGTTCCGTAATAAATCATCACCTGAGCAACAATGTCTAGTTAACATCACATGTACCATTAGTATAACCGATGACGTGTCTATAATTGCTGGACATTTCCTGTCATCTCCAGGGTTGGAGAGAAATAGTTTTGCCTCGATGTTCGTTGATACGACCGCACGCAAACGAGCATGTGACAAATAGGCCAGGCTGGCAAGGCTGTTCGCGGCGACCGAACGTAACAGAGCTGCCGGAACAAAAAATAGCAAGTTCGCTCAGTTCAGCTAGAGCAGAAGGCACCACCGAGGAAAAGTGTCATCGTATCGTCTAGGGATCGCTGAAACATAGACTATCCATCCACGCAACTGTGGCATAGTGCAGTAGCTGGTGTCAATCCAGCAGCTGAGGTGCCAGCAACTTTAGCAATTGCTACGGCACTACGACAGATAATGGTAGAAGTAATTGTTTAATGACACAAATGCTATTAAGTCAAGCTCTGCCGCAGAACAAATGGGCCACGAAGTCGGTGGTCCGCTGTTCATTCCGCTATCAGTTACCCTACAGAAGCAACTGCCACAAGCAGTCTATTCCATAGGGGTGGTCGGGTTGGGGTTCGCTTCCGAGTTCCTCCAGGCGTTGCTGTAGGCCGTTCTATGAACAACTAAATTCACGGATCTGTTCACTATCGCCTGCGTCTGTCCGTGAATAAGCTTCAAGCCGAGCATAAGAGCTAGTCGACAGCATAAGGAAGGGCTCGATCTGTGGCTCGTAAACGCCGTCACACAATGGAATGGTATCCGATATAGAAGAAATATTGGTAGCGAGTGGTCAGCTGAATCGGTCGGTAAGCCAAAGACTGTTATGAATCACACAGACCTTACCGGAGCAGCTGGCAGAGTCGTCTGCCGCAAATCGCGCGGACTAACACAAAGTCGCATGTGCCTCATGTTGTCAACGTGAAAAAAACACGCGCTAGGAAAGGCGAACATCCTGGAAAACATAGTTTATAGGCAAACATCAGTAAATGTATATGTGTGTCACTTAGCTTTCCCAGATTGATAAAGTTGTTTATATGCACCGTCCATTGTACCATGAGACTGTTCGTAGAACTGTTCTTATTGTGTTTGTTGGCACACACGGCCGTCGGTGAGTGAACTGAAGATTTGTTTACGTTCCCATACGAATATAGTAATAGTAGCAGGCCCGTGTCCTGAGCATATTTCGCGAGCGTAATCAGTATTTAAATAGGGAACACAGGAAACAGACCCGTAAGCACATAACGCTTTCTCTAAACCGAGTCGAAAGAATTGCCGCCGTCAACAAAACATTGACTATTATTACGTCAATAACCTTTCCATACTCGTATCTGTTAGATCACGTAGCTCCTTAACACGAGCGAAAATTAGAAATAATAAACGTGTCTGAAGAGAAATTCACGCCGCCAATGACCTATCAAGTGGGTGACATTTTTGTCGAATCAAACTGTCACTTGAAAGGTCCTATTGCTCACGGTGGTAACCATTGGCACCCGACATCGTTTGTAAAGTTGGCCTCCTTGTTGCTCCAGACAGCTCAATCGTTTTGCCATAGTTACGCCTCCAGAAGACATGAGTTTTGCGCTAAGCGATTGCTACGATTGATACAGCGGTCCGAAGTACTGCTCCGGCCGCTAACGGCTATTCGCGGCTCAGACGACAGACGTTAGTCCCATGCTTCTTCGGACTCTCACTGGCATCTGGTTCGCACTACACACACTCGTTCCAATCGATGCCGGCGACCATCAATCTAAGACGTCAATCGCGATCCGCTCGCCAGGGCTCATCATGCGGTCATTGTACCGTAATCACGTCTAACGCTTACCGATAAAAACTGGGCGTCCAGCCTGGGCAGAGGTGTTTTTTCTGGTACCACAGAAAGACATTTTCTATGCTTCTGCCTCCTAATAGCTCCTGCTTTTTGCTGCTTGTTTTTTGCCAGCTTTTTACTCGACCTGTTATCGACCAATAACGTTATAACTTTAAAAACTGATGCGTTCGCACTGACTCATTCATCCTTGAAAACTTTCCCATAATACAATCCGTCTAGACAGGTCGTCAAGCAGACCTTTGTCGGAAAAACGTTCGAAAAACACCGTATCGTTAACTACGTTGTTGTTACTACTACTGGCTACGTTTTGTCCACAAATATATGCTAGCATAAGCCTTGCAAAGCCGTATAGTGGTACCATGACAAATAACGTGCACGACATACATGTCACATCTGTTCGCATTTATCCCTACTATTAGCGTTTCTACGCGTGCGGTCAACGCCGATAGAATTGTTAGCTTTAACAAAAAAAAGGACGTTAAATATCAACAAAGAAAGCGACCCAGTAAGAAAGTAAGGCAAATCAGCGGAAGTCTCGAGCTGTGGCGCTCCGGTCAGAAGCGTTTGGGTCTACATAACGCCTATGGTAGGCGCTAACGTGGTGATAGTCAGAAATTGAAAATTTAACGAAGACTAACATAGTGTGTCCAACATAGATGTTTGCGTTCCAAAACACTTTCAGCAGCGAAACCGGCGCACGAACCACCAATTGCGTCAGTCATGCAGCGGTAATAACAATAATTCAGCGAATCCAAGCCGTCGGCGAAGCGCGCACACTCCCTCGTTGCATAGCGGCTCTACCACTAAGAGGCTTAACCGTATGATAATTTAACAGAAGCCCGCGTCTCGGTGCAGCTGGCCAATTTTGTGTAAACAGTTTTGCTACGCAATGCTACGAAAAATTCCGTGGACTGAGCCAGGTGATGATGGTAGTTGATCCATGAACGAGCAACAATAGGTCTATGAGTGAGCTATAAGACCATTAGCACTTAGTGATCTGACTTACGTATTACATCGCCGTCGTCGTCGTGGTGTTTGAGCTGTACCAAAACACTACAGCAGATATTCAAGTACCCTCTGATCGTGTGATACCGTGTACAATCGGAGAAGCTCTGAGACGTACAGCTGTTTTTCAATTCCGTGTTAGCTTGATATGATCTGAGCGATTTCAGCTTATCACAGAAATCCTCTTTCGTTAGAAGAGTCTTTCTGATCGCGGTGGATGAGGTACTTAGAAGCCGTAGTCGTTCAAACAGAAAAGGTAGCCGGAAATATTTTTCATCTGCTTTCTGCCACATCTATCGAATATCACTTGTACCGCTATCAGTGCTGAGCAAGCTGGGTAGCTCTAAGAAAGAAACAGGAGCGATCTCTGCCATAAAGACAGTCAGTCATCCATTTCGGAAAAATGTTTATCAATTGCCTGTGATCGTACTGTTCAACGTTGATGCAGTGTCAGGGAAAACTGCAGCCAGTGAGCGAAACCGACAAAGCACTGTCAATGCCATATCGTAATAACCTACAGCAGCTACATTATCATCACGAACATTGCCTCTCGCGTGTCGACCGTACGAACCAGGCAGATAGGGCCATATATAAAAAGATATATAAAGCGCGTGATTTGGCATACATATATGTATTTATATGTAATAGGTCACGTGGGTTTTTGTCTGGCAATATGGTGACAAACGCCGTTGACATCGTTACGTACCGGTGACTGCTCATGGCGGCGTTTTCCATACGATTCAGCAGGATCTCCGGGATAGATACAAGGGCAACGTATGGTGTGTGCTGGAAACCGGAAATAGGCCGCGCACGTCGTTTCTCTGAAACAATGCTTAACGATAGTACCGGGCACAGAAGTTCATTTTAATTAACAAAATAATTGCTCAAAGGCCAAGAATTCTGGTGTTTTATGTGGCTCGGTGTAGTGTGCATGATCTTTATGGTAGCTTGGTGGATGACGTGTTTGCCTATTGATCTTGGGGACATGTTATAATGTAAGCTCGAATTCGAGCATAGACGGTCTTTGTTTTCGTGCTGGGAGCCAGCCTAACGGTGATACCGGGCATAAAACTCGAAACATAGAGGTATAGTATGCGTATATAACTATACACTAGTTATGGACACAAGTGCCCCATAAAAAGACTGTTCCTGATTATCGTAACTAACCAAACTACATAGCTGATGGTGTAGCCGGTTGTACATGGCAGTGCGGTAACAACAAGGTACGAGCTGATAACGGCCAACTATACAGGATTTCGATAAAAATGTTTTAAATACAGTTTTATTATTTTTCTGGCTATTCGTGAGTATGAGTATGCAGTCGTATACCACAATATAGTGGAATAATGTAGCATTCTATCCTTACCGTATGAGCCAAACTGAGGCCATAAAAGCGACTTTTCCCAGGGCGTTTATTCTAGCTAAATAGATTTGTCTTTGACTTAACATAACAGAACATAGGTCTAGTTGATATGAAAATAAGCGAGCTTTCAAATGAAACGGACCCCTGAAAATCTCAGATATTCAGGGGTGAAGCAAGAAGTCGAACTTTTCTTCACACATGCGTAATATTAGCATCTGTTTATTGCGCTTTACGTATAGGAATGAAATTTCAAATTTACCCGCCACATCAGAAACGTTGTTCTCTGAAATCTATGTTACGATGACATAACATGATTCATATAAGAAATTATGTCGATAGAGAAACAAATGCGCATCATAATTTTAAGCGGAGACAACTTGATTGAAAAATGTTTTACACAAACTTATCCGTTTGAGGAACATCGGTGTTCTTTTATTATTTTTCATTTCTCTTCGTGAACCGATTGTAAATCGTAGTAATGAAACTCACTCATGGATAAACGAAGTGAACTAAATCATTCCCAATAAAATAGCAAAACAAGGGCTTCAGCGACGCTAGGAATAATAAACAAACCTGACAGTGTGGTGCGTCTAGGATCTCCAACTACTGCTACTACTACCAAATTATTATAATTTTTCTAAGAATTGAAAAGAAACGCTTCTTACCTATTTGTCGTCTTCGTTATCTTTTACTGGCACTTGTTACCGATCATAATCAAAGTTCTTGTCAATGTCATATGTATTCTAGTACATCTATCGTTCGCGATCAAGACGGTGATAGTACGCAACAGGGAGGCCAGGCATCGGTCGTGAGGTGGATGACCGAAGCGCTAGCGTTGATTGGTCCTGCTCCCTTCAGGCGACACCGTTACGACCCCTAGTACAACTTTGCACTACCACACTACATAGTAATATTAATAGAGTAAAATAGAAGAACAAACAAGAGTTAAAGATAACTTCATCGTGGACAGAACGAAAAGCAGGGATGAAAGCGAAACATAAACAGCGACAGGAATGGACATCTTGGTGCGACTAACAGGACAAGGTAACAAAAGAATGGTGTGTTCGGATAAGAAGAAGACGAATCGCATATCGAGAACCCAGCATAAAGGCAGTGTTTAGGTACCAACAAAATTGTTACAGCAGATTTGGTTGATCCATGAATTCCAGAGAATACAATTGTGTCTGTACAGCTCAGCTGTCGTATGAGAATAATTTTCTTCAGCCCAAATCACCATTTTCAATTGATTTTATAAATCCTAGGTTCCGGTTGTAGCTATCCCGTTTAGGACTATTAAGCGTCTTCGTCCCGTTTTTGCCCGATCTGCGTTACCTTGTGGTACCGTCATATACATAAGAAACATACTTTATGTTCGATAACACAATTTTCTAAAAATTATAAATAAACATGTTTAACTTAAGGTTAAATGATAGAACGATACGTTGCAGGCTGGCTATAACTGACGGTCCTTTTTTATTCCACCACGAATTCGAGGTAGTTTGGCCGTGACTTGCAGGCTCATTTCTTGAAATCATTGTTACCTTGTCTTTATAACCCAATTTTCTTCTATTTCATGCATCATTTGCAAGACATGGAAAACAATTCTGATTTATCTTGATATAGGGCTAATCTGACAGAAACCTACCCTCAACGCGACATTTGCTGAACCAATAAACTCTGCGCACTCATTCGCAGCCGGCTGTAACTGACGAACAGATGTCTATAGTGACAACGCCTACCAGCTGAAAGCCTAAACTTGAGTTTTCCGTGGTCAGTGATGTGATGCATTTGGTTCATACACCAGTCGTTCTACTATCAACCTCTATTAAATGTTTAAGCTAAAAGTTGTCCAACTAGATTTTGTATAGAGGTAAAGAGCCATGAACAGAATCGTGAAATTATTATATGATACTGCCTAACAAGTTTTCACCCTTTTTCTAAATTGATCCCAACTTCCTTTATACCGGTTTTTTTTCCTTTATGAACAAACTGGCTATATGTATAGATTCATTTGCTAATCTTTCAGTTTCGCTCGTCGAAAATGTAAGATATACTTAATGATTGTACAAATATAATGAGAAACATAGCAAAGAACTACAAATATACAAACCCAAGATATCAGACGTCACCTATCTTTCAAGTAAGTAGCATTAAAAGAAAAGCTGTTTACGCAGGAACGAAGAGGAAACAACCAAACAGAAAATATACACAGTTCTATACCTCAAACATCGCTCGTTGCATTAATAACATACAGACTAGGAAATGCGTGTTCCATGAAGCAGATCGAACCAGGAAAATTTCGCGTCGTTACCATTATTTCAGCTTTGCCGTTGACACTACTGAAGCTAACGAAGAGATACTAGTCGACGTTCCACGTTGCCCTCATCGCCACCCAACCATCAGCGGTCCAAGTAGACAAAGTACCAAAGCTGACAACATCATTTAGTGGCAATACTAATTCTCCTGCCTGTGAACATTCGGAAATATCTGCTCATTTTCTTATTCTTTCCTAACAATGCAGACAAACCTATCGGAGAAGTCTTGCTGCTTTTTCGACTCCCCCTTTACCCCCGCCTACCTTTCTTTAGTAGCCTGTCGACCCCCTGGTGTATGAAGTCGTTTCAGGCACGTTCGCATGGTTTGTACTGGTAAGTATGTTAGATAAGGGCACACTTTCTTTAAACTCGCAATGCACCCATGAGTGTATATGGGTTTCAAAGAACTTTGGATAACGTTTTCAGTGTTTTTCACGTCCGCTATGTAAGCTACAAGGCATTATTTCCGGTTGCTGGTTGCCAGCACGAGGCAAAGTGCGTTTACGTCAGGGCCTAGACCTTAGAAGACCTAGAAGTTTAGTACGGGCATACTGCATTACAGTGACAAGAACTTCCGTTAGACAACTAGCTCATATCATCACCGTTAGTATCAGCAAAATTAACAGGATGATTCACCTATTAAACTCTCCTAGTTTTTTTTATAGCTTGGTAGTAGAACTGCACCTAGGCGCAACTCTACTACCGTTGATGACCTGACAAAAATCAGGAGCTCCTTAGTACTATCGTTTGGTCCAGCTTTTTCTTGTTCATTTATGTTCAAGCCGCGACAATAGCCCTTACAGAATAAACGTGACGGATAAAATCGTAAACTACAAATAGAATATGATGTATTATAGCAAGTCAGTTGAGCCACGGCGATAAATCGACGCGCATGAGCATGCGAATAAGTCAGCTTTGTCAGAAAACAACGGTAAACAGAACAAACTGAAAGTACAAGATAAAAACGATATTGACGAGGGCATAAATAGCAGTCGCGGAATAATGGATTCGTAAAATTAAATGAGGTCGTAGTAATATAAGTGAAGGTAAATCTTATTAGCGACGACAGCAGTCATAACAACGAGATTTGATGGCGATGGCGGCGGCAACAGCGGATGCACTACGGATGACAACTAAACGCAGAAGGCAGAGGAAAACTTAGGGCAGAAGTTGAACAACTCAGTGAAGGATTTTTTAATGTGCTTTGTCTATGAAGATGAAATCGCCTGACGTTGCTACTGTAGGGCAATAGAACGGACCCTGTCTATGATTAATATGGCGAAACAATTCCATTTGTTCCTTCAGAAGATTTTCGACGGGCTTGAAATAAGATTGAATCCTCCGTTTCTTCTTCATTAATAAAGTTCTACATTTCATACGTCTTTGCTGAACTTGGATGAGCAGACTGAAACGTATGCGCTTGCCTGCGACGACAACAAAACGCATGAACACGGATCCCCAGTTTCCTATGACGTGCCCCGTTGAAAACTCTACGTGTAAACTATGATTGTGTGTACCACAAAGAAAATTTTAATCGAACCTATCCATATTCCTCCAGATAGTTACCACAATCTATAGCACTTTTATACATTTATTATGATATTTCAACTACCTGCAATAAATGAGCGACTTGAATTCTCTGCTACGAGATATCCCGAAAAAAAAAAAGACCAGATTTGTCGTGGGCTACTCTTAAGGCATGGCCTTACGGAATGAGGCTCGTGAATCCATGCCGCGATTACTGTCAATGGCTTCTTTCGAAATGGATGTTTGTTTGACTCAGGTAGTTGCGGAAGGCTTCCGATTTTGGTAAAATGGTCGGCCTAAAAACTTTCTAGCTCTCATATGAATAGGAACGGGTTTGAAGTTGAGAATTAATTAGTCAAAGTGACGGATTTGGAAGCCTCGATAATTACCTATTATAAGAAGAACTTTAAATAGTTACATTCGCTAGCGAGTTGTCAAATTGCCTGTGACCACGCATTCAGCCTTGTGTTGAGAAAGCTAAAAACGTTGATTTGTGACCCAGCATTGCTCGTAAACGCGTCTATTATTTAACCCGTTGATTTAACGGTGTTTTACTATTTCATACCTTGCTAACTTCTATGCAATAACTACAATCACTGTCGACCATTAGGGACTGCGTATGCTGTC